TTTACCTACTCGTTTAATTTGATCTGAAAGTCCTGGAATAAATGGAATGAAAAGGTTCGTAATAGGTTTATTTTGATTTTGTTTTGTTCGTGGGAGTTCAATTTCGTTAAAACATTTTTTAATAAAAGAATTATTGAAATTTAGAATTTCTTTTATAAATTGTTTTTCTTTGGAAAAATTAGAGTGATTACAAATTATTTTTGCTCTCTACTTTCTCTTACAGCTTGAGCCTAAGTGTGTCGCAGGATACCCTCTAGGTGACAGTTCTTGATTACTTTTTGATAAATAATTCGTTCTTATTGCGAAATAGGAGCACTATTTATCAATCTGTAATAGAAGACGTGAGGAAATTCTGCCTTTTTTAAAGACAACAATTTTTGAGGCGAAATACCCAATAGGAAGTTTGTAAAAAAATGAATCCGCCTCAACAATATAGAACTTATCTACAACTAAGAACTTTGATTGAAAGGGTTTTTTTGACCGACCGCTTAGTCTTGAATGAGTGAACCAAGACTATGTTTTTGGTTGTGTCAGAAGCAAGCATTTTCAAGACCTGTTTCAAGCTGGACGTAGCTTGCAAGCCATACTTTAGGGGAATAAGGAAGTACCCCGACGAGAAACAGTCTGAACTAGACTGAATATTAGAACTTAACACGTTGATGTTAGCATGTCTTTCACCTTTTTGTCGGACAAGAATTGTCCGGCAATCACTTGCACTGAGCATTGAGCCGCAATGACACCGTCCACAGGACTTTCGGCAAATGGATCGAATATTCGGTCAGGACGTCGCATAAAATCGGGTTTCAGCAAATACCCACAATTGCCGTTGTACTCAAATTTTCCTTGGTTCAACTGCATGGGCAAATCTGAAGTTTGGAAGTTCAGCGATACCATTTGACAACCAGCATTCCAGAAAACCTATAATTTGAATTTTCAATTCTACCTAATTCACATCATAGCGTTTTCAAATTTTACCTGTGGCATATAGTTTGAAGAATTCGCTCTAGCTCCGCTGGGATAAATTCGGGACATTTGCCTCTTATTGTAGTTAACGAATTCTATTGCCTGTTGCTTCAAAAGGTTAAGCCCGACGGGCTCAGAAAAACTAGACATGTTATGGTGAATTTTCTTATCTGCAAACAAACACACAACTTATAATTTGATCGAGATTTTCGGGATTTACTGACTTTCTGCCGTGTCAAAGCTTTGAAACTTAATCGGCTGGGCGTAGTTCACCATTGAGCTCAAGAGTGGATGGACATTTGTAGTTGATCCTGTATAGGGTGTAGTTACTGGTGCATCTGGAGTTTCACCTGGAGGAACATCTGGTGCTGGTGTCTAAACGAGATATATTTTGCAAAAAACTACCCCCTAATGATATGTGGGAAGTTAATTAAAAAGTCCCATGAAACGACAAATATCATGTTGATGATAATAATAATAATAATGAAGACCGAACTACCTCAGCGGTTATATCCGGAGGAATCGGCCGATCCGCACTAGCGTTTGCGTCCTCCTTTTCCTCATCTTCAATAACGAATTGGCCCTGACGAAACAGTTCCAACTCCCTCTTCTCCACATCAGGAGTGAGTCTCTTGTTTTTAATCAGAATCTTTCGCTTCAGAGCAGAAGGCGGCGGTAAGACGACATCTGAAAAATAACCACTTCATTTCAAATTTCAAAAAAAGTTGTCCCCAATTACCAGGTGCGAGTGGAAAATCGGGCAAAGGTTCCTTCAAGAGCAAGTCGCCGAAAATCTCCTCGCAGTACCTGGCCAGCTTCAGTTGCTGGCTTTTGCAGCAGTGATTTTCGAAGGAAAGAATTACCGGATAGTCAGATGTAACAAATGCCGTGTCCCGAATAGCATAAATCACATCTTTAAATAGAATGTCAGTGCACATGGCGCGTCCATGTGTGATGATTGGCTCTTCATCTTCACCTCGGCCTAAGTGTTGCCTTTGCAGATAAATTGCCTTGGGTTTATCTAACGCAAATTACTTACCATTCCAACAATCCAGCTCGACACAACGACAGCCTGCCAGAAGGACCTGCCGATACATTTCAACTGACGATTTTCCCCCAAACTGCCTGCCTATCAGGTATGTGTTATGGCTCGAGTTTATGTAGTAAGCACACAGCGGCTGATCCATATCCATATAAATGTCCAGGCGATCAAGAAAAACAGGTGCGTTTTCATCCGACATCAGGTATCTGATTCAAAATATATCAAGTCCGCAAGTAATATTAAAAAAAGCCCAGTTGAATATTACCTGATAAGACCATCTTTGCTGAGTCGATTAAACTTTTGCAGTTCCTCGTCCGTTTCGTAGGTTTGGATAATTTCTATGGCACGTTTTTCGTCATAAAGCGGATAGAGAATCTCATTCAACCTGGGGTCTCTTTGCTTCTCATTCAGAAAGTTGATCATCTGCTCTAGGCTTAAATAATCCCCTTTGCCTTGGTTGCTAAAAAAACAATTCAACAAAAATGCCACTGCAGTTTGCACATAGACTTACATGGATCTAAACAATTCTTCGATATCATTACGTGGGCAAATCTTATGGTATAGAGCATAAAACTTTTCGAATGTGAACTGGTCCAGTTCAATACTATCGTTTTTCTCACTAGGGAGCCCTAGTTCGGCCAAGAATGAGTAAACCAGCCTTTCGGCTCTTCCCGATGCAAACGTTCTTGCTATGGCCTTAACCGGAATTTTCCCTTTTGCGTCCACCGAAAATCCCAAGCGCATCCAGCTGGAATAAATGTGGTCTGGTTATAAGTGTATACTAGTATAAAATAATGATGATTTGCAAAAAAGCGGGATTATTGGATGGAAATACTGGCAGTTGCACTAAAAACAGTTATGGAAATATCGCAATATTTTTCTGTTTTTATATATTGGGGCCTATTTGAAATAGTCAACTGTACTTTGTGGTCATTAGGAAGCAGTAGCGTTAGGGTTGAGTGGTTAAAAGCGTTAGTAAAATGTGCGTTTAGTAAAATATCCAGTTGCCTAATTCAAATAGTCACCGAAATAGAGTAGAGTTTTTTTACCGCTAATACATAATTCGATAATGAGGCGTTTTAGCAGTGAAGTTATGTAACTCAAGTTGGGGTACAAACAGCCCAGACGTCACCACATTTCGTTAAACACTATAAAGTACATTTTAGTTTCTAGGGGCTATCTTACTTACTGCTTCATTAAAACAGTCCTCGGACATACATTGACAATTTTATTATTGTGGGTTATTTTCCTCAATCCTTCTTGCCATACCTAGAGGACAACAGCATCATGCAATGGCATAAACGGAAACACATGAAACAGATTTACAAACTATCAACACCCTCTAAAACCATCATGCAGGCTATGAGACAAATAACACAAATAGTCAGAACAAAAATATTTTGAAAGCATGCAACCCCACTAAACACTGATTGCATATTGGCATGCACTAAAAGATAGATCTTATAGACTTACTGTTTTTTCAAACAGGTCATTGGGCAAAAGTTATAAGCTTTAACATTGTGAGTAATTTTTCGAAGACCATTCAACCAATCCTTGAACAAAAACATTTAATTTACAGTGGTTAGGGCAACTGGAAGAAAGACATCATTTGTGAAGTTTGCCTACGTTTAAACAAGCACATAGTTTACTGTTCTCGCTGTTTAATATCTAATCTGAAAGATTCATTAACTATGTCCACATGCTTGCATGTCCAATACAATAACTTTATATAAAACATGCAAATGTGCACGTCTGAAGTGACGTGTTGCACAGTTCTTCTGCTTTAGAGGGTGCACTGAAATGAGCAATTTTGTTCTGTAAAGTTCTACATCAGTTTACGACAAGTAAATACGTTCGTTATGGTTGAAAATCTAACAAGTCAGACAAGTCGTTTATGGATAAACTGTAAACAGACGTTGTAACAATTGAAAACCTGATAATGGATTTATCATTTTGGAGTACAAATACCTTCGCAATGTCCGGTGTAGGGCACACTATGTGTTGATAATTAATGTTAATATAATCAGTACCGCTGCAAATCGTCAACGACTTCTCTTCAACATCATTCCCATGTTTTTTGCTCAAATTATTAAGCGCCTTGGTATCTTTGGGAACCCCACCGGCCCTTATATCGCTCACTTGGCACAGCTCAATCACATCGCCTTCCTAAAAACGAAATATTGCCTTATTCGGCAAGACAGTCGAAACATGTCTAAAGAGAGTTGATTTAGAGTTCCTAACTGCATCTAGTACTAGACCGTAGACAAAAGTTCCTTAGGCACTTTCAGTTCAATTTACATTGACTGTAACTGGAACTTGTGCACTTACCCTCCCATCGCTCTTCCAATAAATAAAGAAACCATACTCGTCCACTTTGAAGGTGGCTTTTTGCTCCAAATCGACATTGTCCCCTTCAGTCCACCTATCAAACACACACCCTGTCAGGAGGGGCTCTGGAACAGGGATGTGCCAATCGAACTCAAACTTTTTAGTCATATCTGTGTGCTAGATATTATAATCAGGCCCGATGTGCTGCTTACATTCCTAAAAGGAAACCAATTCGCATTTATACGGGTATTGCCTGTATAAAGATGTCAAAAATTATCGGTTAATTAGAACTTAAGAAAACCTACAGATCACGTAAAATGCAGCATTTTTCAATTGTAACAAAGAGGCCATTATATTATGCAGCACACTCACATAGTTCAAAACAATTTCAAAATGAACATCCCGCTAGGAACATTACAAGTTGTAAACAAATTGACAAATCCATTTTCGAGATAACACATAAAGGTTATGGCTAAGAAAATAAAAAAAATTCCTCCTCTTAATATTTTGACCACAACAAGATCAACTGTGCTCTACAATCATGCATCAAACGTTCTGTAAAGATGGCGATGTCAGTTTATCCACCTAATTTCTTTTATCTGTAGTAAAGTATTTTTACTTATTTTATTTTCTCCATGGCTTTATCTAAACAGTATTAAAAATCACTAGTTTTATCAAAGACATTTTTTTGTTTTTTTCTACTTTTTAGATTCCCTACGAGGCACATTAAACATATACATACAGAGTATTCATCTAAGGATGGCCTAAGCCCAAATGTTAAATACTGGTCGAGGAGTTTGTAAAATATAAAAATCATTGATAAATACTATGACTGGTAAAAAAAACGTACATTTTCAAATGGACAACGCAAAGTATTCCGAAAATTTCTTCAACCCGCTAGTTTTGAAATCGGATAATATACAACCTATTCAAATTTTTTAGTGTTAGTTTGCTGCTGATTGTACCGAACCTCTTAAAATAGGGGCCGAAAATCCACACAAGTTTTTACAGCACAATATATTTTGCCCGTGCCAGTTTTTAACTCGTTTGAACGAGAACTAAGTAGTAGTATGAGCGCGTTGAAGTGCTTGAGAGGCTCATGTGTTCCTCATATCTTCCAATAAAACCATAAACTTTTTTAATTAATTTTTTGTGTTGTAATATCTGGAGTTTAAACTTCATGGAATCCATTATTACTTGATGAAAATGCATAAATGGGCACGTTACTGTTAACAAAATAATTGTATACTAGCTACTATATATTGAGAAAAATCAATATCAGTTTATTCCTACCTTAGTTCGGCTTTTGATTAGTTAATATATTGAGAGATTTTGCAGTCCATAGCAGATCCATAGTCAGATGAAAATAGTATGCATGTATAGCCTGGGTGTAAGGACTTTCATATTTTACTATTTAGCTTGTTACTAGTATAAAACGTTTCTTCCCAGTAATTAGACTTACTGTAATCCAGTTTGGCTAAATGGATTATGTCATGTAAGGTTTCGCTAATAACTAGTTTAATATGCAATTTATTTAGACATTAAATAAAAGGACTTTAATGTTAACTTACTTTAATATATAACGTATCCTAGATTGTAAATACAGTCAAAAATTATAAAAAATTAAGTATTTAGTTAGCAATCTTAGCTGATGCATCCAAAAGAGCAGTTCCATCCAAACCAAATAAATCATCCCTATAGGTAGATAACGATATAGAAAAAAATGGAGAAATGTTCGGATTCACACTACCATGAGCTGTAAAGCTAGCAAAATTATTAAATAAATCAGTGCAATAGGAAATCATGAATACATCGTTTCTCTCAGTCAATAAGTTGAAGACTATTTGCCTTCCACGTTACTGGTTTCAGTGGACTTTTCACCGCATCCTGCCTCATAGACACTTTTGTTCTTTTGCAAGTATTCGGCCAAGGCATTGATTGGTTCGGGCGGCCTTTCCTTCGCCAAATACGATAAAGCATTCATTAGGATTGGAACTACAGTTTGATCAAGGTATTGTCTTGTTGGCAGACTGCTCAGATCGGCTCGCTTCTTTACTGAGTTATCTTGACTGTCCATGCCTGAAACAGAAGCTCAGTAAATTCTACGAAAGTCTTCCGCTATTTAGCAGGTAATATAATTGTGTTTTATTGAATGGAAACATGGGGTTTGCATCAATTTGCATCACCACCCACTCATTCAAAAATGAAAACAAAGCGGCCGAGTTTCAGTTGCACCTGAAAGACAACGGATGAATACTCACTTAATTCAGGGTCCCCGCTAACACTAAATTATAATAGTCGTAAACTGTAATAATTAAATATGCACCCACAGCTTTACCACGCCAGAAACTCTATAAAAAATGTTGAACTGTTGAAAACAAAACAATCGAGAAGACAGCAACTTGTCTTCATCTTAACATTAACATGTCAGAACTTGTTACTGCATTTACAACAAAAGTAGAGTATTTGTTGCTCTTTCTCACACATGCACTTTCGGGATAAACTACTTTATCAATCTTGTACTGGATCTTCAAACTATATCTATTTGGCAACGGCGCGAAAAAAATTTTAATTCTAGATTTGTATTTTGTTTTAACTGATCATGACCCCATGTTTCTTCAAAAATCAACAATTTCTGAGGTCAATACATTAAATTTCGCGGAAAAAAACCAATTCAAATATTGGATGACATTCTCTTCTCCATTTCATCCTAAGATGAAGATGACAATTAATGTCTAAAACATATGATTTTCAGTTGTTATGTTCTTGTGATAGTTTTGTTTTTAAAATTGGATTAAAAACATAAAAAAATGAATGGCATTTTACATAATTAATTACATAAGTTAATAAAAGCAGCACATTTAAAGAAAAACTGCTTCAAAATGGTTTCCATTATAAAGAACCAGTTGCTAAAACATTTATCTAGGTACGGCCTAAACAAATTATTTCAGTTTGTTCAATTATATTGCAAACAGTACTGGAGTTTCTCATTTTATTGGACATTTCTCAAGTGTCTCATAACAACCTTCTATATATTCGATTGATTAGTTGAAAATACTGGGGATCTTCAGAACTTGGAGCTCCTCAGTATACCCATATTCCAGATACAAAAAGTCATGTTTCACTGAAGTATTAGCCTAAGAGTGGATATGCGGGAAAGTTAACTGTGAGTTTATGTGTTTATCTTTTAGATTTACAAAGAACCTTTCAGCAGACAAAATAAATCTGAGCACTTTCAAAGGCGAGGGCGAACTAACTAATCTGGAATTGAATGAAGACGTGCTGACTGACTTGCTGGAATTACCTTGTTGGCTTAGGCTGACGAAAGCCTGGTGTAATAAAGTTACATTTCGAATCACTTGGACTAAGCTGAAAACCGTGCCCATTTGCCTAGTAAGACTAACTTATTTTCACTGTCTAAGAGAATTTATAAACCACTTATACCACCCTACTTCTCAACAAGAGTATATGTTTTGGCAAACGCTTCAAAGAAGACAACCATTTCATTTCCTTTCTAGAGTCTGGATGAAGTGAATATAAGTATAGAAACATGCGAAGAGTTAAGATCTATGGCTACTGGCCCTAGTCCAGCTCAAGGATCCTTAGGAAAATACAGCTTTATACATAAAGTGATTGATGGAATCACTGTGACCGTTAATACAGTTAATATTGCATTTAATAGTCCGGCATTCGTAGCCACGTTGCAGGTAACTGCAACTCACTGTTAGACAGTCAGAGCAATAAGTGTTTGATTCTATTCCTCTGTCGATTCTAGATACAGCGGATTAGTGTGGAATCTGTAACTCCCAAATTTACCCGAATGGACCTGCCTTTGACCAGGTTGAAGAGTCCAGAGAAGGGACAACTGTTAATATTTAAGGAACTTCAGTGGCAGACTGTGCGAATAGAGGCGAAATCGACCAAGGACGATACCTTAACACCATTAAGATTGCTGACTAACCAAGCACGATGTCGCATTACTATTAAAAAGCGATTATCAGGTATGAAGTTGGCCGTTAAAACTCCACGTTGTAAAACCCCTTTTACATCAAATTTCAGATTGTTTTATTCTGGGCTCGAGACTGGTGATTATCCTGGACGATTTACTTTGGGTACTTACTGATTCGCAACTGAAGGCAGCTCTGCATTTCTTGAACTCGCTTTCTGGACTAATTGACAAAGCCACACGGTTAACGAGGAAACTTAAGGCAGCGAGGAAACTGGAGGTAGTATGCAAGGAGTCATTGTTTTCCAGCTTTTGAAAATGACGTCTTTTTTACAGGAATTGCCCGAATATCAGGCTCAATTAGCGCAAGAGGCACTACAAAATGTCGCAACTAAAACCGCGAAAACTTCAAGTCGAATGTTCGCTCAGTATGATGTYGTGGAGACTTCATATCATTTTATGTCTAATCAAATAGTTTTTCATTTCTGTGATGACCCTGGCGGTGAGTTTCCATATTGAGCTGATCATTTTCCGTAGCAATGCAAATCACACGGTTTTCAGTTGTTAAAAAATCACAGATTTTAAGCTGGKAATTTATTTGTTTTAGACGGTCGGTCTTCGCATCCCAATCTCCGGGAAGGCGGCGCTCTTCAGATATCCATTAAAAAGTTCCAAGTCGATTTCTATCCTTATCATTTAGCCAAAGGTGAATTGATTTCTATAGAATATTATGGACTTGAGAGCTCAATTGCATTATTTTAGGGGACCGAAGACATTGGCCAACATACAATGCATCCGCAGTCCCGCACGCGCTCTGGCAAGAGCAGGCGTTCGCTTCGTTTCGAAACAAGTTTGTTGAATTGCTGGACCATAATAAATCGCAACACGTTCCTTTGAGTAGAAAACCAAAAGTAAGTGAAACGAACATATGTTGATGTAGTCAAATGTGTTTTATATGATTTTTTGTCTAGTTTTTGGGCGACAATTAAAAATTAGAGATTCATTTACTTATTTAGGGCGATCAGTCAAATTCGACTGTCCCATGCGGCCCTGAAAGCGAAAAGTCCACTAATCCGAGTTCCAAAGAAGTTCGAAGGCGATTAGAAATGCAGTTAAATAAATTAATGACGACGTCGGTTGTGATTCGAGTCGATGATTTTACTGTTTACCGCGTGACAACGTCGGGCAAGAAACAAGTTCTGAAAGAATTTCTTTGTGGTAAGTCAATTGCATACTATAGTTGCCACAATTTCAGTCCAGCATTATCTTTACGAATATAACGTCTATCCGCCCATAGCATCACTAAAAACACAACATTTAAACTGAACTGTTAGGAAGGGATTAAATGGATTAAATCACATTTATGAGGATAAAGACTTGAATTTTTTGTTTATTAGCTCAGCATAAAAGGAGAGACCACAAAAAAGCAGGTATTATTAGAGTTTTGTTGCACTCTTTAGTCTTGTTGTTTCCTAGAAACGTGTAGCTTAAAAATATACCTTTGTTTACGAGATCACACAGGAAATGAGAGAAAAAATCACATTATGAGGACAAAACTGATAAAATTTGTTCAGCATTAAATATCAGCACAATGCAAAGAAATGCATCGTACGACAATATTTTAAACAAATTAATTAATTTTAGTGTCGGTGACGCTCTCCATAGGCTAGACAATAGAAACTGTTGTAGAGCTTGGCTTAATAACGTCTTAGAAGTTCAATTGTAGTACGACAGATGCTAGTACTGTTTTCTAGTAAAAAA